TCCTCCTCCTCCTCCTCCTCCTCCTCCTCCTCCTCCTCCTCCTCCTGGGGGGCGTCGAAAGACGCCTCAGGGCGAGAAGCCGGCCCTGTAGGGGAGCGGCCCAGACTCCGGGGGCCCACGCGCCGGTGAAAATTGGAGCAGCCAGAGGTCTGCTGTGCTCGGGATGTCGCGGGGGCCCCATGGCAAGATTCAGGAGGGGAGAAAACACACAGACACAATCAATCGTCGATTCCCAGGAAAAATGGGGAAATATAGGACGTGGGGGGGAAGACAGAAACCCCGAAAATATGAGAAAAGATGGGGAGTCATTTTATTTGTGTGTATTTATTTGTGTGTCCCAGGGCCCCTTCAAAGATGCCTCCGAGCAGCTTGTGGGCCAGGCGTGCAGGATGATGGAGTGGTTACAACGCGTCGCGGCGCCGTGTCCTCGAGCAGCTCGAGCGCGGGCACGGAGGCCGCCGGATGGCCGCAGTCCTTCTCTGCGCCCAGGCCCCCTCGCGTCGTGAAAAGATCACGACGGGAGGTTTTTGGGATTATTTTCGCCCTCCGGGGGGTCCTCGCTGGGCCCCGGGACCGTCAAAGAACGACTCGGGATGCCACACCGGTCCCGGCGAGAGGGTCCAGACCTCTGGGCCCAGACCCCCGGCGTCGTGATTTTTTTACAACGTCGACCCCCAGAGGTTTGGACCCCTTCCCCGGGGCCGGTTTTTCGTCCCGAGTCGTTTTTTGACGGCCCCGAGGCCAGGGAAGGGCCCCCGGAGGCCGAAAATAGAGAAAAACCTCCCGTCGGGATTTTTCACAGCGCGAGGAGGTCTGGGGGGGTCGACGCAGTGAAAAAATCACGCCCTCGGGGGTCGGGGCGCAGCCGTCGGGGGGTCGCGGGTTCGGGGCGGGAGCTGCGCGGTCGGCCTCGGCGCCTCGGGCTGCCGCCCGCGGCGCCGCGCCCTGACGAAGGTCGAGACGCCCTTCCACCGGCGACGGGCGGGCGGGTGCAATCAGGGACATCCATTCAGAGCCCCGAATCATCAGGGGTAACTCGGGTCAGGGCTAACTCGGGTTCGTTTTTCGGGAACCCAAACCCGAGTTACCCTGGACCCGAGTTACCCCAGATAACTCGGGCGCCCAATCCATCCTGAGACCCGTACGCCCCAACAAAAGTTGGAGCGGCAGGATTTGGGCAGTTTTCGGCCTCGGGGGGCCCTCGCTGGGCGTCAAAAAGCGATTCAGCCCTGACCCCCTCGCGTCGTGAAAAAATCGCGACGGAAGGTTTTTCGCTATTTTCGCCCTCTGGAGGTCCTCACCGGGCCTCGGGACCATCAAAAAACGACTCGGGATGAAAAACCGGTCCCGGGGAAAAGGTCCAGACTTCCCTGACCCCGGATCCGGCCTATTTCGGGGAAATTCATAAGCAGGGCTTGGAATTTCCGCCTTGCTTTTCAGGCCCCGCCGACGCCAATGTCCGCCCTGCTCTTCTGTTGCCGTTTCCGCCCCACTTCTGTGGAGTTCCGCCCCTCTTTATGTTGGGCGCAGACATCTCCGCCCTGCTCTTTCGGCTTCTCACAGGTGGATTTCCGACGCCCTTTTGAGTTGGAGAAAATGCCAAAGTAGGGCGGATCTGGAGTCAGGATCGCGCCCCCGCTCAGCCCAGGCGAGGTGGTCGGCCTGACGCCCAGGGCAGATGTTCGTTCAAGGTGACGAGACGGCGCCAGCTGCCGCTTTCTATGGGGGCCCCGGATGGCGTTCATGACCTCGCGGGCCCCCGCCGGCAGGGCGGGCGCGGGTTGGCGACCCCCCGACGGATGGGCATGGTTCTATCGTTCTAAACTTCTTCGCACCAGTCTGGAGGCAGGCGCTCTGGGCGGGGGCTCTGAATCCGACCCGCTCGTCATCTCCGGAAGCGCTGCTGAAGTCGAAGCCGCTTCGGGTCCCGGGTTCAGGCGGGTCGGTTTTGCCAGTGGGGTTGCCGTGTCTCGGGGGCCCTTCGTTTTAGGGCCCGGGGTCCTGGGGCCTTTGGCGGGGGTGGAAGCAGGCGCTGGTTCAGGGTGAACTCATGTGTTTGGTCTTGGCGATCAAGTGCCCCGTGGGGCAGATCAACTACATTGCCGACAACGATGCGGTCGCCCGAGGTTGGCATGGTCGCATGCATCCCGCGCTGTGCGGCGAGCAGGCGGACCTGTGGAGAGCCATAGGCACCGTTCTGAGAGAGAACGGGCAGCCGTTCCCATAATCAGGTAGTGGCGTTGAGAGTTCTGCCTCGCATCGAACCGCCAGAGGTCGTCCGGCGAGGATAGCTTGGATGGTGGATCGCAGGACACCGTGCTGTCGACCAAGTGGCTGAAGTTGCGAATGAGGAGCCAGCCGATCAGAGGTCCAGAGAGGAGGCCGGCCCTGGCCCGGAGACGCCGGATGAGGTCCGCGCTGGAGGCGACGGCCGCAAGCTCAGCCTCCGCGAGGAAGGAGCAAGTTCCTGAGCCCTCGTCCGCCGCCGTTCCCGCTCCTGCTGTGCCTGTGCCGCCCTTCTGTGTCCTCCTTGCTCGCTGGGGCGAGGCTTCATGCTCCGTCCGTGCTGGCCGCGTCTCGGTCTGCCCCTCCGCCTCCTGCGACGGCGGGCGCACAGGGCTGCGACCTCCGCGGCCATGCGCGCGGCGCGGCTGCCCGCCCCGTGCTCCGCGCCGGAGGCGGCCGGGGGGGCACGGCGTGTTCGGACCACCTCTGGGTTTCAGCGTCCACCCTCAAGGGGGGTCTCGCCCCTCGCGCGGGGGTCGATGCCCCGCGAAGCCTCTCGCGTTCGGTGCTGCGGCGTTCGGCGCGTGGGTCCATGATGGGGCCCAGCGTGGGGGCCAGCAGATTCGTCCGGTGGCCGCTGCGTGCAGCCCCTCCGAAGGCACCATGCGATTGCATCAGCGTGTGTCGCCGAGGGCTGCGTCCCCACGAGGCAGCGGGCACGTAGCGTCCTCTTGATCTGACATTGTTCAGGGGTCGGATATGCCGATGTCCCCTCCTTCCTCCTCTTTCTCCTCCTCGTTCCCCTTCCTCGTTCCTCTTCCTCGGTCCTCCTCCTCGTTCCTCCTCCTCGTTCCTTCTCCTCCTCCTCCTCCACTTCCTGCCCCTCCTCCTCCTCTTCCTTCTCATATTCCTGCTCCTGATACTCCTCCTCCTCCTCCTCCTCCTCCTCCTCCTCCTCCTCCTCCTCTTCCTCCTCCTCCTCCTCCTCCTCCTCCTCCTCCTCCTCCTCCTCCTCCTCCTCCCCCCGCCTCTCCGCCTCCTCTTCCCTCCCCTTTTCATCCCTCCCCTCCATCCTCCTCGGCGGTGTCGAGACGGATCGCGTTGGCGGGTGCGTCGTCGACGACGGCGGTGCTGGCGACGCCGCGCCCGAGGAGGAAAACGATGTGGATGATAAGGAGGAGGAGGAGGAGGAGCAGGAGGAGGAGGAGGACCAGTGTAAACCCAAAAGTCATTAATCATGTTGGAAGGAACCCTTCCTCCAAGCTCGCTCTTCATAGGCCCCTACAACGGTTTATTTCCACAGAGGGAACTTCCTCGCTGGAACTGAATAAAACCCTGAAGCATGCCAAAACATTGTTCTCGGGATTCCGACGCCAGGGATCAACCTGATTGTTGCGTCTTGACGATCTGGAGTCGTGCCAGAACGCCATTCCTGGGATTTCAACGCCGCGAATCACATTAATTGTTGCGCCCTCATAATCGTGAACCCGTCCAAAGTATCATTCGTTGTACGTTGAGCATGGGAACCAGTGAAACTTTTGCAACTTTGAAAAACGAATGCGCGCGGCTCTAAGGCGAAAACAAAATTTGAAACAGAGCCGCCTTCAATCCGTGGAACTGTTGCAACTATGTATTTGAAACGAATGTGCGCGGCGCTGAAGCGAGAGCCAATTTTTGAAAAAGAGCCGCCTCCAATGTGTGGAACTATTGCAAATATTGAAAGCGAATGTGCGCGGCGCTAAAGCGAGAGCCACATGTTGAAAACGGGTCGCCCTCAATCCGTAGAGTTATTGCAAATGTTTACAAAACATGCGCGCGGCGCTTAGGCGAGAACCGCGTTTTGAAACCGGGTTGCCTTCAATCCGTGGAACCTTTGCACAAATTTGAAACGAATGTACGCGGCGTTGAGGCGACAGCCACATTGCGAAAACCACCCGCCTTCCATTTGTGAAGCTGGTGCCAGTTTTCAAACTTCAGGGGCATACATGGTGAGGAAGTCTCAGGCGAAACGCCCGGCCCGCCCCCAAAAATGGCCTCGGGTGCGACAGGAGGAGGAGAGGAGGGGGAGGATGAGGTGGAGGAGGAGGACGGGGAGGAGAAGGGGAAAGAGGAGGAGGAGGAGGAAAAGGTGGAGGAGGAGGAGGAGGGGGAAGAGGGAGAGGAGGCGGAGGAGGAGGAGGAGGAATAATAATAATTCGGCGCCGATGATGGAGGCGGCGGAGGAGAGCGAGGAGAGGACAATGACATAATGAAAATGCTAATAATGGAGGTGGAGGAGGAGGAGGAGGAGGAGGAGGAGGAGGAGGGGGAAGAGGAGGAGGAGGAGGACCGAAGCAAACCTAAGATGCATAAACGATTCTGCAAGTCCCCCTGCCAATTGTTTATATTTTCCTGCAAGCCTTCCATTTTACTGCAAGAGGCATCGAGGCCCCGTTTTGAATAGGAGCTCCCTTGTTTTTGGCGGGGCGGGCTGCAAGGGAATGCGGCAATGTTGGGAGTGCGCGCGGTGCTACGGCGAGCCACGTTCTGAAAAAGACCTTAACATTCCTCCGCCGAGTTAGTTCCTGCGCAAGCTTTTCGGGCGAGTGCGCGCGGCGCCAAGGCGCCAGCCCCGCTTCGAAGAGAACCGGGCGTCCATTCGCGCACATGATTGTTGGACCTCTTTCTCCTCCCCCGCCAACCACTCCTCCTCCTCCTCCTCCTCCTCCTCCTCCTCCTCCTCCTCCTCCCCTCCTCCTCCTCCCCCTCCCCCCCCTCCTCCTCCTCCTCCTCCTAGGCGGCTCCTCGGCGCGGCCCGCGCGCCGCGCGGCGGCCCGCAATGGAGGAAAGCCCCCAGCGCCAGGCAAAGGCGCGAAGAGCCTGAGGTTGCACCGCATGCTGCAGGCCGAGCAGTGGAGTGGGCCCTGCGTCTTTCCCCCTCGCGACGTGCTTCGCGGAGGCGGCAGCGACGAAGGGAGGCCCCCCAAGCCCAGCCGCAGCCGGCGGCGCGCCGACCGCAGGCTGAAACTCGCCACCTGCAGGCAAGCTGTCTGGGACCTCTACACCCTCACTCCACCCTGGTGGGGGTCGCCGTGGGAGGTACATACGGAGGACGGGCAGTGGAGGCCGCCAGAGTGGATAGAGCCCGACGTGAGCCCGCTAGTCGCCACAGCTGGACAGGGGCAGCGTCACGAGAGGGCGACCAGTTCGTGCGAGAAGGACGGGCAGTGGCTGCCTGCAGTGGAAACAACCAGCTCGTGTGAGAAAGACGGGCAGTGGCAGCTGCAGGAAGGCGCTGGCTGTACACGTGTGAACGACGGGCAGTGGCAGGTGCGAGAAGAAGGCGGCGAAGCGGGGCACACACGTGATCAGCCACAACTCGGGAACATCTGCGCTATCTACACCCTGAAACACTCTACCTCGTTCCCCCTCGTCGCCACGGCTGGACCAGAAAACAGGAATGGCGAGAAGACGGGAGAGGCGAAAGTAGAGAAGGACGGACAGTGGCAGCGTCAAGAAAGAGTGACCAGCTCGGGCGAGAAGGGCGAGCAATGGCTGCTACGAGAGGCTGTCGGTGCTTGCGAGAAGGGAAGGCAGCGGCAGTTTACAGCAGATGCAACCAGTACGTGCGAGAAGGACGGGCAGTGGCGGCTACGAGAGGCTGCCGGTACGTGCGAGGAGGGCTGGCAGTGGCAGCCTACAGCGGATGCAACCAGTTCGTGCGAGAAGGGCGGACAGTGGCTTCTACGAGAGGCTGTCGGTGCGTGCGAGAAGGGCTGGCAGTGGCGGCCTACAGCGGATGCAACCAGTTCGTGCGAGAAGGCAGGGCAGAGGATGCTACGAGAGGCTGTCGGTGCGTGCGAGAAGGGCGGGCAGTGGAAGCCTACAGCGGACGCAACCAGTTTGTGCGAAAAGGACGGGCAGTGGCAGCTCTGGGACGGCAGTGGCGGTGCTCGCGAGAAGGGCGGGCAGTGGCAGCCGGCAGCGGATGCAACCAGTTCGTGCGAGAAGGACGGGCAGTGGCAGCTCGGGGACGGCAGTGGCTGTGCGCGCGAGAAAGACGGGCGGTGGCAGGTGCGAGAAGAAGCGGGCGGTGTAGCGGAGCCCCCACGTGATCAGCTACAATTCGGAAATCAGCGCGGCACAAGCATAGCTATGTGGAAATCCCGAGCTGAAATCGCCAAGGTGTGGCTGGCGGACGGAGACAAAACGATAAAACCCGACATCGTCAACTACAGCGCTGGGAGGAACAGCGCTTGCGAGAAGCTGCAGCGGAATACGAAGGCGAGAAATAATACCAACGACATCAGCTACAGCATAGAAAGCGGTGCAGAGACCGTCACCTGCAGCGCGAGGGAGCAGAGCAGAGCGGCTTCGCACCACGAGAAGTGGCTGGCCAAGCGGTTCGGGCGAAAGGCGAAGCTGGAACCCAATTCCTACCTAGCTAGCTACTCCGACGTGGGAGCGAAGACCAGAGTCGTCAGGGCACAGCCGACACTCGAGGAGTGGATCTACGGCCCTGGCGGGTGATGCTGGCGTGGACGCGGGAGTACGGCGCGTGCACGACCAGCTGAGGGTGGCGCCCGAGCACGGCCGCCCCATACCCTGCATGGGAGCCCCTTGAGAATGGGGGCATACCTGGGGGAGGGGCACAGCGCCGAGGTCGGGCCCCAGACTTGCACCCGCAAGAGGCCGAAATCCCTGAAATCTCCTCCTCCTCCTCCTCCTCCTCCTCCTCCTCCTCCTCCTCCTCCCTTCTCCCTCCTCCCTTCTCCCTTCTCCTCCTCCTTCCTCCTCCTCCGCCCATTCGCGCACATGGTTGTCTGACATGTTTGATGTCGGAGTCGTGATTTGGGAGGACGTTTCCAGCGAAGCGCCCGGTCCAGCGGACGGACACGTCTGGAGGCGCGACAGGGGGCGAGGTGCCGAGAAGGAAAGGGGACGGAGGGAGGAGGAAGTGGACACTGAAAATGGGGCAGGGGGGTGATTGCGAGGAGTGGGAGGATGAGGAAGGCGCCGATGGTGGAGGCGGCGGAGGAGGGCGAGGGGAGGACGATGACATAATGAGAACGGGGGGAGATGCGGAGGGAAAAAATCCCCCTACAGGGGGGTTTTCGACGAAAATTTTTTTGTTTTTTAAAAATACCCCAAACATGGAAAAAATAGTCCAAACATAGTCTGGGGACTATTGTTGTAATATTTTCGGACCTTTTTGGGGTATCTTTGGTGTATGTTCAATTTGTCGTCGAAAATCCCCCTGTAGGGGGACACGCCCGACTTAAAGGTGATTGCGAGGAGTGGGAGGATGAGGACGAGTTCGGCGCCGATGGTGGAGGCGGCGGAGGAGGGCGAGGGGAGGACGATGACATAATGAGAATGGGGGGAGATGCGGAGGGAAAAGGTCCCCCTACAGGGGGGCTTTCGACGAAAATTAAAAGATACCCCAAAAATAGAAAAAATAGTCCAAACATAGCCTGGGGACTATTGTTGTAATATTTTCCGACCTTTTTGGGGTATTTTTGGTGTATGATTAATTTTTCGTCGAAAATCCCCCTGTAGGGGGACACGCCCGACTTAAAGGTGATTGCGAGGAGTGGGAGGATGAGGAAGAGTTCGGCGCCGATGGTGGAGGCGGCGGAGGAGGGCGAGGGGAGGACGATGACATCATGAGAATGGGGGGAGACGCGGAGGGAAAAAATCCCCCTACAGGGGGGTTTTCGACGAAAAATACAAGATCGGAGGTGAGGGGGTGAGATCGAAGTGGAACGGAGAGCCCCCCTTCCGGGAAATCGATTTCGGTTTCGTGTTCGTGCGTGCCGTGCGTGCGGGCGAGGCGAAGCTGCGTGGGCGGGCGAGAGGAAAGTCTCCTGTGGCTGAGGCGCGGCCGGACCAAATGATTCTCCACCGGGCGGCCGGTGGCGCGCGGTGTCCCGCCGGTGTCCCGGTGTTGTCCTCTGTGGCTGAGGCGCGGCCGGACCAAATGATTCTCCACCGGGCGGCCGGTGGCGCGCGGTGTCCCGCCGGTGTCCCGCCGGTGTCCCGTCGGTGTCCCGTCGGTGTCCCGATGATGATGATGTTGATGATGATGATGATGATGATGATGATGATGATGATGATGATGATGATGATGATGATGATGATGGTGCTGATAATGATGATGATGGTGATGACGATATCGATCGAGAGACCGAATGTGATATCGATAGTGAGATCGAATGTGAGATCGATTGTGAGATCGATTGTGATATCGATAGTGAAATCGATAGTGAGACCGAAAGTGAGATTTATTGTGAGATCGATTGTGAGATCGATATTGAGATCGATTGTGAGATCGATTGTGATATCGATAATGAGATCGATAGTGAGACCGAATGTGAGATCGATATTGAGATCGATAGTGATATCGATAGTGAAATCGATAGTGAGACCGAATGTGAGATCGATTGTGAGATCGATTGTGATATCGATAATGAGATCGATAGTGAGACCGAATGTGATATCGATAATGAGATCGATAGTGAGACCGAATGTGAGATCGATTGTGAGATCGATCGTGAGATCGATAATGAGATCGATAGTGAGACCGAATGTGAGATCGATAGGGAAATCGATAGTGAGACCGAATGGGAGATCGATAGTGAGATCGATAGTGAGACCGAATGTGAGATCGAAAGTGAGATCGATAGTGATATCGAGAGTGAGATCGATCGAGTGTGACGTTGGTCCCTCCCCCCCCCCTCACCTCCTTATCACCCGAAGGGTGGTCGTATAGGTACCCCAAAACTAGAAAAAATAGTCCAAACATAGTCTGGGGACTATTGTTGTAATATTTCCTGACCTTTTTGGGGTATTTTTTGGTGTATGATTATTTTTTCTTCGAAAATCCCCCTGTAGGCGGGCACGCCCGACTTAAAGGTGATTGCGAGGAGTAGGAGGATGAGGAAGAGTTCGGCGCCGATGGTGGAGGCGGCGGAGGAGGGCGAGGGGAGGACGATGACATAATGAGAATGGGGGGGATGCGGAGGGAAAAGGTCCCCCTACAGGGGGGCTTTCGACGAAAAATAAAAGATACCCCAAACATAGAAAAAATAGTCCAAACATAGTCTGGGGACTATTGTTGTAATATGTTCTGACCTTTTTGGGGCATCTTTGGTGTATGATTAATTTTTCGTCGAAAATCCCCCTGTAGGGGGACACGCCAGACTTAAAGGTGATTGCGAGGAGTGGGAGGATGAGGAAGAGTTCGGCGCCGATGGTGGAGGCAGCGGAGGAGGGCGAGGGGAGGACGATGACATAATGAGAATGGGGGGAGATGCGGAGGGAAAAGGTCCCCCTACAGGGGGGTTTTCGACGAAAATTAAAAGATATCACAAAAATAGAAAAAATTGTCCAAACATAGTCTGGGAACTATTGTTGTAATATGTTCTGGCCTTTTTGGGGTATGTTTGGTGTATGTTTAATTTTTCGTCGAACATCCCCCTGTAGGGGGACACGCCCGACTTAAACGTGATTGCGAGGAGTAGGAGGATGAGGAAGAGTTCGGCGCCGATGGTGGAGGCGGCGGAGGAGGGGGCGAGGAGAGGACGATGACATAATGAGAATGGGGGAGATGCGGAGGGGAAAGGTCCCCCTACAGGGGGATTTTCGACGAAAAATACAAGATACCCCAAACATAAAAAAATAGTCAAAACATAGTATGGGGACTATTTTTGTAATAGTTTCTGACCTTTTGGGGTCATGTTTGGGGTATGCTTAATGTTTCGTCGACAATCCCCCTGTAGGGGGACACGCCCGACTGAAAGGTGATTGCGTGGAGTAGGAGGATGAGGAAGAGTTCGGCGCCGATGGCGGAGGCGGCGTAGGAGGGCGAGGAGAGGACGATGACACAATGAGAATGAAAAGGGGGGAGATGCGGAGGGAATAGAGGAGGAGGAGAAGGAGGAGGAGGAGGAGGTGGAGGAGGAGGAGGGAGGAGGGCGAACATTGGGGAGGGCGAAGGAACATGTGGGACGAAACGGGGACGGCGGAAGAATCACAGGAGGTGGAGGAGGAGGAGAAGGAGGAGGAGAAGGAGGAGAGAAACGGCCAAGAAGAAGAGGGAAGGACAAGGATGATCAGGAGTCGGATTCCCTACTGGCGAGGGGCGAGGTACTGCTGGAGACAATGCTCTCCTCGACGTCCTTTGTCTTGTGCGTCTTGGGGCCCTCTTGGCCCGTCTTCGGGCCCTCTGGCCCAAGGAAAAGTCATTCGACAAACCCCCAGAGGCGCGCGACAAACCATTGCGCCCAGAACGCGGGGATATGGGCCCGTGAAGGAGCATTCACAATACTAAGCGCAGGGAGCTCTTAGGTACTTCAGAACACCCCATGCAGTCCCTCGGTGTACAGCGAGGATCTACACACACATATATATATATATATATATATATATGTATATATATACATATACATATACATAAATCTATACGACCACCCTTCGGGTGATAAGGAGGTTCGGGGGGGAGGAACCAACGTCTCACTCGATCGGTCTCACAATCGATCTCACAATCGATCTCACTATCGATCTCACTATCGATCTCACAATCGATCTCACATTCGGTTACACTATCGATGTCACGATCGATCTCACATTCGGTCTCACTATCGATGACACTATCGATATCACAATCGATCTCACAATCAACGCCATCATCATCAGCATCATCGTCATCAACACCATCAACAACACCATCATCATCGGGACACCATCATCATCATCGTCATCATCACCTCAAAACCACCATCATCAACATCATCATCATCACCATCAACAGCCATCATCATCATCATCGGGGCACCATCATCGTCACCATCATCATCATCAACACCATCATCATCATCGGGACACCATCATTTTCGTCATCAACATCGGAACGCAACCACCATCGTCATCATCATCACCATCATCATCTCATCACCATCATAATGAGCAACAACACCACCATCATCATCATCATCATCATCATCATCATCATCATCGGGGCAACATAATCATCATAATCAGCATCAACATCATCAACATCATCATCATTGGGGCACCATGATCATCGCCACCATCATCATCATTACCATCATCATCACCATCATCGGGATACCATCATCATCAACATCAGCGTCATCATCATCATCGGGCCACCATCATCAAAATCATCATCATCAGATCACCATCCTCATCATCAACATCATCATCATCGGGACACCATCGTCGTCATTATCATAATCAACATCATCATCATCGGGACACCATCATCATCATCATTACCGTCATCATCAACAACATCATCAACGTCATCATCATCATCATCATCATCATCATCGGGACACCATCATCGGCATCATCATTTTCATCATCATCAGCAGCAGCATCAGCATCATCACCATCTCATCATCTCATCATCTTCAACATCTTCAACATCATCAACATCATCATCATCATCGGGACACCATCATCATCAGCAGCAACATCAGCATCATCAACATCATCATCATCATCGGGACACCATCATCATTGCCACCATGGCCATCATCATCACCATCATCATCATCATCATCAACATCGTCAACATCATCATCATCATCACCATCATCGAGACACCATCATCATCACCACCATCACCATCATCATCAACATCATCGACATCATCATCATCTTCATCATCATCATCATCATCATC